CGTGCTGATTTCTGCTGCCGTGACTAACGGCGAGGTTGTACCCTGTTGCGTGTGCCTGTTGTGTTTTGCAGCGTGCTTTGTTGTGTGTGCGTGCAATGTTTTGGGTCGCACTGAGGCCTATATGCTGTTCTAAAAATAGACCGGTTCCGGCCCTGCGATTGCAGGCCCAGTCTTCCCCGACGTCATAGAGGCCCTAAGGACCTACAGTGGGTAGAGCCCGTAGCTGGGAAGGGCCTAGAGGCCCTAAGTCGAAACGGTACCGGTAGAGCAGTTTCGGTCCAGCAGGTCTAGGATAGAATCTAGAAATAGGACAGGCCGAGTAGGTTTAGGACTTTTGGCAGTTCATTTCTCGCGAGCAGCGTTGGAGAAGCCAAGCAAGTTGGTGGCGGTGACTGTCTGCAGGCGGCATCCTGAGACCTCGCCGTTGACAGCAGCAATAGCCGGCCCAGTCTGAGTCTGCCATAGCTGGGGCATCCTCAGCGCATCTACCCCTGGGGTATCTGCGTCTGGCCGGGCTATATCGAGGCTCTACACTGTGTACTCRTGGGTGGTGGCAGCCATAGCTGCCTGTTCCTTCGTCAGAGTTGTCCATCGGCACTGAAGACTTCATCACAGGACCTRTTCTTCATCAGGGTGGTTGGYGSTGGCCTYWSGRAGGCTGTTCTRACGCAGCGCTACTAACTGGGTGTAGGATAGAGAGTGGGGTGTGAGTTCTGAGTGTGGCGAGATACTGGAACAAACTCTGTTACGATAATTGTGTGAGTGGCTCATCATCAGTGACAGTTTCAATTGTGATCTTCGCAGGTTCTTTCTTGTGATTGGTTGTTGGGAGTTGTGTCAGAGAGTGAGAAACACTGTGTGTCTTCTCCCCTGCTGTTTAATTTCACCTGTGTGGAGTGTGGACTCTGTCTCCTCTCTCCCCTTCTCTTATGCATGTATGGGCATGTGTGAGATTGTCTGAGTGTGAGTGGCGAGAAAATTCGCCAGACAACCAAGTTCATAACACAGTATAGAAATAGGGTGATTCCTTCCTCGCGAATCATCGGCCTTTTGGCTAAGATCTGGTTTAGTATCTCTTGTGATCAGTTCAAAATTTGATCCATGGTCCATCAGGCCATTGGGAAAAAAAAAAAAAAAAACACGACCGTCGACCTGTTGTATGGCATCGAGTCCAACGACAATGCTTACATTAAAAAAAATGTCCAAACAAAATTGAAAACAACAATGGACAACAAAGTTTCGTTGCACGCAATTGAAAACTTACGAACTTGAAGTAACGATTGAACTGCTTGAAGAAGAGGAGGAGTGACCTGCACCACAGCTGGCACCTCCTAAGACACCTCACCAATCATCCAGAAACAAACAACATAAATGTTGAAAGCAGGTACACAAATCAGACTAGTTACCACAGCACAAACACAAATCAGCAAAGCATTTCTACAGACATAGGTCAGCTCATTGTCACTGAGTACCAACATGGGGGGATAGTGATGAGTTCACCCACTTCTACCTTTTATATTTCCATTTTAAATTATTCACTCTTCAAAGTATGTGCCCTGCAGCAGGCACGTGCCCGCCCTAACTGAATGCGGGCCCCCTGAAACTCACTGTGCCCTGAACTAATCAATTTTTGCAAATCTTTGTGGGCGCCAGACAGTTGGCATGCAACAGTTGGTTACAGAATCGGAAATATTTGTGAGCCTTCCAGGCTCTTCCAGCAACGTGGTTGAAGCAGGGAACACCAATTCGGTCCGAGGCCACTGTCTGAACGGCCCTGGGCGCAGACACTTTGGCCCAACGTGAAGCATCAGCGCACTTGGTAGAGCGGGCGGCAGCACTGCTGGAGCGAGCGCTCATGTGCTGCTGCTAGCGCCAGTGCAGAAACGTGCGCGCGTGCGGTACCGCATGGGAGAATGGCGCTGCTGAGGGCAGCACCATCGCCCAGCCCACGTAGCCAGACTTGGGCTTGGACAGCCAGCGAGAGGTGGTGGTGGTCTTCGTGTATGAGGGAGAAGACACGGGTGTAGAAGTCGAGAGAGAGAGAGAGAGAGAGAGAGAGAGAGAGAGAGAGAGAGAGAGAGAGAGAGAGAGAGAGAGAGAGAGAGAGAGAGAGGAGGAGGATGACGTGAGGGCGTACCAGGTCTTGGTGATGGTCTACAGAGTCGACATCTTCATGTACTTCGGTTGTTGCTGCTGACATTAACAGGTTGCATTGTCAATTCGTAGGCTGGTAGTAGCTGTGTGATTGTAGTCTGGGTGCTGACCGCCAAGTAGGAGGAAGGACTCTGGGTACATATGTTGGCGGTGGTGAGAGTATGCTCTCATTGACATTCGGATTCGGTGCTTTGGTTCTGCCTTGGTGGAATATCAGTCCATTTCTGCGTTCTGGACAGCGTTGAACTTTCTGGTTTTCAATGCGGTTTTGTATTATGGATTTCTGTCATTTCGATAGCTCATTTTCCTTGCAATTTGGTATCGCAGCTGGTTCGAGCCGCTCCGCTGGCTCCTTCGCAATAGCTGATTGGTGCTTTGCTGGATATGGTGGGGCAGTGATAACACTTGTGCGTTGGCATGTTGGCGGCCCAGGGTCGTGTGGGCGCATCAGGAAGGCTTTGTGGTGCCATAGCGGTGCATGCTGGATGATGAGAACTCGCTGACGTGGCATTTTAATCCGAGGTAGAACTGCATTGTATTGTGGGTTGTGCCGAGGCATCGAGCGATTGTTGATTATTGTAAAATTCCATTCTGCATGCACACCCGCAAATGATTTTGATTTTATTTTTATTTTTGATTAGTTAGTTGTGACGGTGTCGAGCGCACCGGTCCCGCAGGGGGACCCTCCCGGCCGCGTCACACAAGATTTTGCAGGACTTCTTCGCAAGGGAGCTTTCGCCGCTCTAGTCAAGTGCGCCAGCCGCACCTCTCACGAACCCCTACGACAGGATAGTGTGAGGAATGTGTTCTCCTGGGGCCCTAGACAACATGCATATGTTCTCGTTTGTGGGCCCCAGCAAGCCTCGTGCACGCCCCAAGTGAAGGCGGGCCTGAATATCCACAAGAGGCCCTTATCTCAGCATTGTCCAATGTGGGTCTCAGACAGTTGCTGCACACCAGTTGGTTGAAGTGCAACCTGGGCCTCACCCTGGGCTCTTCCAGAAGAAACAGCTGCGTGAGGCAGTTAAGCCCAGGACGCAGGTGGTTGCGCCCTGGGCACATGCAGTGTCAGGCCGACAATTCACGAAGTGGCCACAGGCCGATGAGAATGCAGCAGCGACTCCCATATAGGGAGAAGGCCAGCCAGTGAGGGGATTCTGGCCTAGGCAGGCAATGCGAACACGCTGCTGCAATTCAGCGCCAGTGTCTGCATTGCGTTAGCGCTGGCTGGGGCGCACACGAGCTCCAAGTGGTGTGGGGCGCTGGAGGGCAGCCAGGCGCCAAGCCACCATAGTCGGGCTGCAGGGGCACGGGCAGGTGGAGGCGACGGTGGTCTTCAGGAAGGAGGCGCAGGTGTGGGTAGACAAGGGGTGATGAGGGAGTCGAGAGTACGTGCCTGGTGCATGTGGGAGGTCGGCATTGCTGTTGACGTCATGTACATTGGTCTTCGAAGTCGAAGTGAGCCTGTTGCACGAATGTCGATAGGCTAGGTAGGATGAGTAGAGTAGGCTGGGCGTTGGGCGCCAGACAGTTAGCGACATTGAAAACTGCGTTGGTATGGCCTCAGGACTTGAACATTGGCTCACGAGTTCATTGTATTGCTCTTATTTGGATGGAATCTTGGTGCATTTGAGCTCTCTGCTTGTTACATGACTATCTCGACTTCTCGTCGTTTTGCAGTTTGGTTATCTGTGTATCGCTCTTGAACAAGCGTATCCCCACCGAGTTACCGAACCATGTGCGAACGCTGCTTGGATCCACTCGTAGAGGTGGCCCAGCCGAGGGCGTTTCTCGTACGCTGTAGCATAGGGGGTACGCAAGGTCACACGCCTTAATCAAACCCGTACGCGAATCGACGCTCTAGGGGCTGATTTCCCAAGCGTGGCTCTGTGTCGGTCGACTAGGACAATCCATCTAATCATGCGATACACTTCATAAAAGTAAAATCAACTTCGAACATAAAGTGCGCCTAGTCCCTTTTTACATCCGACCCATAACCTTTTGACAACGAAAAGATATGTGTCCCGCGCGAGGCTGTGAATAAATATCACGGCAACGTAAACTTTGTCATATTGACTAGTTATGCATGGAAATGCAAGCAGTTTCAAGAATGGCGTACTATGTGGTACCCATGACCACATGGTCCTCAATGATTTTGAGGATAGCATTCGACACTCAAGTGTTGGCTGACACGTGTCTTAAGAGGTTATTCTCTCGACGCTAGACAATTGAGAAAGCGGTTGTGAGTCCTACCCTCTTCTGCACATTGTTGAGAGCAGTGGTAGGCGGGCTTCGGCCCTTAGTGGCGGCCAAGCGCCTCTGACCCTAGGAGCAAGCCCTCATCTTTAGAGGCCTGGAAACAGGTCAAGGTGTTTGACTTTGACAGCCACCACGAACCTCAACGTCCAACTACAAAAGTAAAATCAACTTCGAACGTTAACCACGCCTAGTCCCTTTTTACATCCGACCTATAACCTTTTGACAACGAAAATAGACATGTGTCCCACGAGAGGCTATGAATAAATATCGCGGCGACCTAAACTTTGTCATATTGACTAGCTATGCATGGAACGCAAGCAGTCGCAAGAATGGCGTACTATGTGGTACCCATGACCAAATGGTCGTCAATAACTTTGAGGATAGCATTCGACACTCGAGTGTCGGCTGACACGCGTCTAGAGAGATTATTCTCTCGACGCTAGACAATCGCAAAAGCGATTGCAAATCCTACCCACTTCTGAACACTGCTGAGAGCAGTGGGAGGCGGGCTTCAACCCTTAGTGGCGGCCAAGCACCTCTCACCCTGGGAACATGCCCCCATCTTCGAAGGCCTAGAAACAGGTCAAGGGGTTTGACTTTGATAGCGGCCACGAACCTCGACGTCCAACTATAAAAATCTACAAAGCAAAAATAAAAACGTATCTCCCTTTTCTCTCAATACGAATTTGCTCAATCCTTGCGCATGGTCCAAATAGACCGCTCGAACATACAAAATATAAATATGATGGGGTTATAGGTAACGAAGCGATTACTCTCACAATCATTGTGTGACTCCCTTCAAAATATACACATGATGCCAAGCAAAGTCAAATCCGGACGTCAACTCACAAAACATACCTGCAATCACACCAAAGAAACAACATCGACAGGCCACGCACTACACAGCGTCAACTTTAACCACTCTCTGCACTCATACCCTCAGTCAATCATTCTATCGACATTAGAGTAAATACTATCGGGACTTGCGCGGTACACTCAATTTTCAAGTCAAAACTTACTTTCTGTCACTTGCAAAAACCAGGGCGGATACCCTTGTAAGGGTATTCGCACCGACAATGCCCTTAGCTAACAACTGATAGACGGTTGCAAATATAGTTAATATTTTTGGTGTCAGAGTCAAGAGAGGAAAGGGGACTGTGGAGAGTAGCTAGGGAGAGGGGCATATTGTAGAGGGCTAGGGCAGCAACAACCAACGTTGAGAGAGCGCTAGCAGCGGCTACTACAGCTGAAGCTAGAGCCACAGCAGAGGCAACCATGGCTACCGTCTCTGCTATGTCGCAGGCCTTTTCTCTGGCCACTTCGTCAGGTGCAAGTTCGGGTATGTTAGGGTCAACCATGAGTCAGAGCACTGACGTGCAGGTCAGCCAACATCAACCCATGTCAGATGAGGACCTAAATTCCAGTTCGGGTTCGTCAGGGTTATCCACTAGTCAGTCTGTTGGCGTGCAGGTCAACCAGCAACAACAGATGTCGCCAGAGGATTATGAGATCGGAAAGGTAGACGCTCTCCGCGCCGACAACGCCAATTGCAGGATGTAGAGGAGAGAAGAAAAAGAGCTAGAATTAGAAAAGCCAGGCTAGGGTCAAGGAGACAGGAACTAAGAGGTTTGAAGCTATAGATGAGTCAAAGTGGTTCTATCTGTTCGAAACTCCTTGTTGAGTGTAGCCGAAGTGCAAGCCATACAGCATGAGATGTTGGCTGCACTGATATCTGGTAAGAACCAAATGCTGACCGCATTGCGGGTGCCTCGACCTCCAGTAAGGCAACCCCTGTTTGTTGTAGTTCCCCCTATGATTGCAGGCCTTTGATGGCGCCGCAGCCGACAAGGCAGCCCTTTGCCCCTCGGATTGGCATGCCCCCATCAGGCGGATTAATAACAGGTAAGAGTGGGCAGAT